GTGGATGGCAACAGGTATTCTAAGTCATTCTGTGAAATTTTGAAAATTTTGATTTCTTGTAAAGAAGGAAATTTGGGCTAGAATGCATTCTGGAAGAGAGAAGATACAAAAATTAGCTTCTCTTTTTTGGGCCAAAACTCATTCCGAAGCAAAAAAAAGAATGAAGTTTTACCAAATACGTTTTTATTCCCGAATGCAAAAATTGCTCCAGAATGCATTTCGGAAATATTTTAACAAATGCGTTTTTGTTCCGGAATGTATTCTGGAGCAGAATTTCTGCTCTAGAATGGATTCCATGCGCGCCCTTGTTCTCCAAGTTGTCGGCAATTGGAAACATGCGAAAACGTTCAAAATTAAGCCCCTCTTCTTGTAATAATATAAAAAGGAAAACTCCGCTTTTGAGCTCGGGGACGGGAGTTTTAGCTTATAGCTTGGACACTTTACTTCGAGATACAAAGTTTTTTTTGGGGGCCGAAAGGAAAACCACGGTTCGAGTCAAGTGGTTCCATATCGGATGTCAACATTGATTAGGCCCCCAACCTCGAAAGATGATAGATGGGTCGAAAGGAAAAGCACGGTTCAAGTTAAGGGGTTCCATATTGAACGTCGACATTGATTAGGTCCCGACCTTGAAAGATGATTGACGGTGTCCGGGCGAAACGTGCCTCACATGGCACGTAACACGCCCACCGGCTTTTATCCTGATTATTAACAGGGCCAAGCTAATATCCAGCTCTTTTGCCTTGGTCACTCGAGCATTTGATGGAGACATCACAAGCATGCCTCGATCAACCATGGATTTCAATAATAGCCGCGCCTAAGTTGGCTCTCGCTCACATGCAAGTCCGGATACTTGTGGGGGCGGCTACGAATTGGATCATAGCCTTTGCTCAGTCCTGTCCTTCTCGGGTCGAAATCCACTTCCCACTTAGTCCGGTCCCTTCAACAGCACTGGAAACGACTTCGATGGTGAGATCTGTCTCCCCACGAAGGCAATGATGGACTTGTTTGAATAATAAACAGCCCTTTTTTTTTTTGGCCCTTTTTAATCTCATTTATAGTGATTATCTTAAGTACGGAAAGAACTGTTAAAAGAAAAAAATAGAGTTACACCAGCTAGAAGAGATTGTCACATAAGTAATTTTCTTTTATAAATGTACAATTTGCCAACTTTTATCATGTGACTAAGACAATAACTGTAATATCATCGGCGATGAAATGTTTAATATAACTTTACCCATGTTAGATCATCCTACATAAATTTTGCCCATTAGCAGAAAAAAATTTAGTGTTCACTCTGGTGGATCTTTCTCCAAAACTGCAAGTGCTCGATGCCCACCTGCCTCAATTACTTAAATTTTTATCACCAAATCAATCATTTGGCCAAAAATTCGATCCGATCGGTGGCTGATTCAGTGGGTTGAGCAGTTGAATCTGGTCACTGCGGGAATTGACCAGACCATGGTTCGGTTCCCAATCCAACCAGTTGAACTGGTCGGTCCGATCTCGATTTGAAAACACTGGGGACAAGGGCCACGGGGACGGCACGGTCACCCCTTTTGTTCCTTTCTTTTTGTTTTTTTAATTTTCACTTGTGTTTGTTTATTTTTTAATTATTTCAAAATTTTTAGACGTAGCATTAAAAACCGGCGTGGTTTTGTGTTTGAGAAAGTTTTGTCATGAGACTTGCTGCTGCATAAGATTGAAAAACGACAAAAACGTGGATTTTCCCCTCGGTCTAATAAAAAAAAAATCTTCAACTTTAGGTCCAGTCTTAGTTTTACCTCAACTTTTTTTCACCTCATAAAAAACTTTTAACTTTTGGTCCAATCCCAATACTACCCTAAACCTTTTTACGTCTCATAAAAAGGCATTAATTTAGGTTCAGTCCCAATTCTACTCTAAACTTTTTTTGACTCATAATAAAGCACAAACTTTTAGTCGAGTCTCATATCTACTTCTGTTAAAACTTTGTCCAAAATCACCCTTAGTGATGTGGCATTTTCATGTCATTACTCTAGTTTTTTCCAAATTTTAGATTCAAGAAGATGTCTCTTGAAGATGAATTTCCACGTCAGTTCAAATGACGTCTTCTTGGATCTGAAATTTGGATAAAAATTAGAGCAATTAGGGTTGGTCTTCTTTAATTGCTCTTACTCTTATGAGAGTTCTCCTTCCATCTCGCTCGGGGATCTTAATTTTGCGCTCAGTATTCAATATCTCATGCACGGGAGTCTTCCTTCTCTTTCGAGAGTCTTCCGTCTCTTGCGGTCAGAGAGCTTATGCTTCGGATGGTTGAACAACTCATGCTCTCAGTTGTCAAGAGAAATTTTGAACGGAGGATTAACGGGGGCATATTTGAGATTTGAGACTTAAGTAAAAGTTGATAGTTTTTTATGAGACAAAAAAAGTTTAGGGTGGATTGGGACTAAACTTAAAGTTTTGGATTTTTTATGGAACAAAAAAAATTTAAGGTAGAATTGGGATTAGACTTAAAGTTGAGATTTTTTTTTTGGGCATTTAGTCTCTACGACATTTTAAAAGAAATCCTATTTCCTTTAGCTTCAAAATTCAAAATCAAACTTTAATTTAATGAAAAACACCCTAAACATTTGGGAAAATTTCAATTTGGTACCAAAAGTGGAGTCATTTTCTCAAAAAGGAGTCCAAAGTGAACAAAGTGTCAAATAAGGAAATGAAGTGCCTAATCAGTCTCAAATAGGGGCCCGAAGTGCCCAATTAGTCTCAAATAAGAGCCTGGGTTCGCCGGCTGGTCAAATTTTCACCGGCCGGCGAGCACGTCACTGTTCCGGCGATCGGAACAAGGGCAATTTCTTCTTTTGCTTTTTTTTTTTTTTTTTTCTCTTTTCCTTTTCCTTTTCTTCTTTTTTTTTTTTTTTCTCTTTTCCCTCCGCCGGCCATAGTCGGGGCCGGTGGAGGTGGCTGGCCTCAGGCAGAGGCCACCCTCGCTTGGGCTAGGCGGGCAAGGGTTGCCCTCGCCGGATCTGGCGAGGGTCGCCCTCGCCCGCCCAACCCAGGCATCGGGCGGCCCTCGCCCGACGCCGGCGAGGGAAACCCAAGGTCGGTCCTCGCCAGATCCGGTGAGGCTCGCCCTCGCCTGGGCTGGGCGGGCTAGGGCGACCCTCGCCAGAGGGCAGCCTCCGCCTAAGGCCGGCCACCTCCGCCGGCCCCAGCTATGGCCGGCGGAGGGAAAAGAGAAAAAAAAGAAGAAGAAGAAAAGGAAAAGGAAAAGAGAAAAAAAAAAGTAAAAGACAAAATTGCCTCTGTTTCAATCGTCGGAACAGTGACGTGCTCACCGGCCGATGAGAATTTGACCGGCCGGCGAACCCAGGCCCTTATTTGAGACTAATTGGGCACTTCGGGCCCCTATTTGAGACTGATTGGGCACTTCATACCCTTATTTGATACTTTGTCCACTTTGAACCTCTTTTTGAGAAAATGACCCCACTTTGGGTATCAAATTGAAATTTTCCCTAAACATTTTGAGAATAAATCATTTTGAGGAATTTTTTATATTTTTATATTTTTTCCATTTGTAACCAATATGTCATTTTTGGTTTCGATGGTAAATGAATGTTTATTGGTGATTGGCTCAATTTGAAACCAAACAAAACTTGATTACAATTTGCACTTCGACAGACAGTTTTATATTCTGTGAAGGGAGTTATGTCCCCAATACCACAAATTGTGGTTGGTATAATCTGACTTTTTAAACTGGTATTAATGCTACGTTTGTTTCCATGGCCCATGCCTCCATTAACGCACGGTTACCTGTGGCATCTACGGCGTCAGTCCGAGGTCGCGATGCCAAGGCGACCTTTGCGACCTTAAATCGAGAGATCGAGGGAGAGAACTAGGTCTCTTGGCAGGACCTTCGTGGCAAGATCCTCCACAAGGAGTCGGTGGCAGCAGATGGCCGAGTGTTCGGTGTGGTCGCGACGGCAGGCGGGTGTATGTGGCAGCCAAACCTAGGCGGCTGGTGTTTGGAATTTGTGGTTAGGGCTTGTGCGTTTGGAGTGTGTAAGAAGGGCTGTGTAATATGGGAACGAGCGAATATTGTACTAAGATGTCCAATATTGCTAAAGCGAGGTATGAAACTTATAATTTTGAAATTAGAGGTCTGTTTTCGATATCTAGATGAGAGTTCATGTATATTTTTCGTATTTTTCGTTAATGAGTTATTCTAAAAATACTACATTTTGTTTCATTTCCATTTCTATCAATGATTCTTTGAAATGAAAGAGAGTCATACACGCTCGCGCTCATCGTCACTGCTTCTTGCACAAAAATTCGGGTTGGATGCAAGTTTTGATGCAAATTACAGATGATATAAGGGGAAGAAGAGCAAAATACACTAGGAATATTTCACTCTTTGATGCATCATATGGAAAAATAACAAAATGGCAGACACACTAACCAGGTGGTTGATTAAGTGCTCCAGACTGGATTCACAAGCCAAAGATCACATGTTCAATTCCACACTTTATTTTCGGTCTCAGAAACCTCGCTTAGCCTGCTAAAGATGGGCCTGTGCTTATATGTATCACCAATCTCGACCTTCCCCACTCGCACGTGATGGTGCTGCGGTGACCGACTCCGCCAATGATTAAATCAAACATTCAAGCAACGGGTGAGAAAAATACCAACTCTGTCCAAACCCTTTTTCGCGAGCGAAAAGAATGTGTGCAAAGCTGGTGAAATTGAGGATAGAATCAAGCCAATAAATGGAAACAAGGAAGCATCCTCGCAAGAAGTTACACAATCGCCCAATCTCGTACGCACTCTATGCTTATAAAAGTCAGTGAGATTGGGGTGACGCTTTTGATCTTATTTGAACATTAGTCATATTTACTAAGCATATCTTCTCAATTTGTGTATAGTATGTTCATAATGGTTCTTCAAGCTTGGCTACCCCCAAAACCAAGACTTTAACCACGCCTCCAATCCGTCCCAAAATGTCAATCATCGAAAACAAGAAAGCCAAACAAATCATAGCACAGAGGTTTGATTCTCTGCATCAGTATTGACTCAAAAGACAACATTGTTTAGAAGAAAGCCCCAAACGACGGCGTTACCGGTTTGGTTAGTGCATCAAACTTGAAGAAAAGCTGTCATGGTATGTAATATATACAGCTTGCTCACAAGCATCGAGAAATCGAAAAGAACTCCACCTGCTTAGGCACGTTCTAATCTGCAAAATCATGGCAAAAGAACTAAGTTGACTTTCATCCAAGAATTGCTTACACCGATGCAGGCTCAATCTCTAATCCAGATGAATTTGTCGAACCTGGCATCATATCTATTTTATCAGCAGCATGGTGTATGCGTCAGGGAGAAAAACTAAAAAAAGAAACAAACTAGACTTCCTACTCGACTAGATTGGACAAAGGAGAGCGTTTCAATATTGACACTACGCATTTCTATCCATTCTTCAAAAGACATTATCCATTTGATCTGATACAGAAGATAATTTTACCAAGGACCTGGAAGAGCCGTTGGACTGGGAATAAAAACAAAAAGAACATGCTATTTCTCACGGGAACGGTGAAGCCTTCTTGTGCATAAGATCATAAATATGATTAGAGGAAGGTCATATCAGGACATGATAGGTCAATATGCAAAATAAGCATCACTAAAACAGTGTCATTAAAAAAAACCATTTCATTCGACCATTTGGGAAGGGAAGTAGCTAAAGTAACATATATTCACATTACAAAATTTGAGGAGACAAACCATCATCTGAAATCAAACTCGGGCCTTCTAGGACTCCAGCGACTCCACGGTCCTAAATAAAAGTAAAATGAGAAAGTCAACAAATCTTAGTTAACTTTAAACGGCAACCAATACAATTGTACTGAATATGCAGATATAAGAAGTTCATCCACATTTTGACGACACGATGGAAGAAGATTTTAAGGTGACTTTGCAGCAAAAAATTCCATAACTGCAGTAGCAGTTTCCTTAAATTCATGGGTATGAATTGGTTGCTTGAACCACTATGCCAACTCAGGGCTGGTACCATAATAGAAAGGACAAACCATACTTACTAGAAAACATAACATGAAATTGCAGAAATTATAAAGATACTACATACCTGTGCATAAACTGCCACTTGGTTTCGCCAGAATTCTAACCTGGGCAAAAGTATTCTTCCTACAAAACACGCAGGACGAAGCGAACCACGAGCCTTTCAAAATGGCAATATATGATTTAGAAGTAGTAAAGACCATTTTGGTAAGGCAAAAATGTGTCTCACAAAAATTATATTTAAAAATGTGGAAAATCTTTGAATATTGATTGAAATGCTCGCTTCATGCAGGCCTAAGAGGATGCTGATGGTGACCACCACTCAAATACTTCAAAGCATTGACAAATGCATATATAACTAAGAGTATGGGACCAGCCAATGATTTGGGAGTAGTAGTAACCATTTTCAGAAGGAAAAATGTGATTCACAAAAGGTGTATTTAAATTGAGAAAATCCTTCGCTATTGATTGAATGCTTGCTAAATGCAGGCCCAACTGATACAGGATAAAGATTGTGACAACTGGAATTCTTCCCATAGAAGTGGATCCATCATTCCAAAGCATGTTCTCATTTAAACTGGTGATATGTATTCAGGTATGTACAATGCTTAAATATTGATTGAAATGATAATTCCATTTCCTTAACTTCATTTAAGTTATAAAAAGTAGGTTTTAAGGCATATAACGGGATCTAAAAACTAATACATGCTTATTCTAAATCCATAAGTCCTAAACAGCAAATTGTAGATCTTGAACAGAAATATGGTCTGATGGCCTACTCACCAGATCTAGAACGTTTGAAAGAATCTGGAGATGTGAGGGAACTTCCCTAAACAAGCAGGAAACAAAGTAAGAAGGCATTAGACCAAACAAGTGCCCATATATATATGCAAATAAAATAGGAGCATGATGATGGCAGATGCACTTGTGGGTATGGACAGAAGATCACCATATAAAGGCATACAAATACCAAACTTATACTATAATGGTAAACATATAAACTGATAAGAAAGGCAGACAAAGACTGCCCCAAGTTCAAATGAGTAATGACTAACTAGATTCCTATCTACTTCTCCCCACAGATCACACATACATATAGGCTGACAAGTCAAGTATTAGGATGTTTTAGGTGCTATATTTTACCCCCCTTCAAAAGCTTTTTGATTAGTTTGGAGTATTTCATAGCTTTAAATGTTGTGTCAAAACAGTGAGTTGAATTGCAAGGCTAAGGTCTGGGAGGAAAAGGCAATGACAAGGAGTGAGAAAATATATCCAGGAAAATGTGGCCAAAGGCATCAAAATATAATCACATGCCACTGTTAAAAAAGCTTGTAGGTAAAACTATAAAATTTCAGCAATCTATCCCGATTGACAAGATAATCATTTTTATGACACTTCTCCTCAATTCGAAAATCAATCTAAGGGGCATTTCAAAGTATTACCAATCCACGTTCACTAAAACCCCACTGCACAGTTCTCAATATTGTATAGGGAAACTGAGAATGTTTGATATTGTAAAGGTGAAGCAGCAAAACAAGAAACTCTCGCTAAACCACTCGAACATTATTGACAGAATCAGACACTGAGAGAACTTACTTGGGAGCCTGTAGGAGTTTTAAACACAGTTGGTTCCCCACAAAAATTATTTTTATTAACATTGCCTTTTCCCTTCCCACCTGCAATGCTAACTCGTTAGATAACTGTCAAACTAGAAATAAAATGTTTCGACTCCCAAACTTACTAGCAATTATCAAAAGACATCGTATGCAATCGAAACACCAAAACTGTTTCAATACCTGTCTTTTGAGGAGAGTACACTTTAGACTCATCAACAGCTGCAGAAAGACGACTATCTTGTGTTCCTTCTACTTCAGCACCAAGAAGATTTGGGTCCATCATAGCAAGGCGACTTTTGGTATTTTGAGGAGAAAAATCATTTGGAGCTTGTGCATCATGCTTATTTTCAGTAGCATCCCTCTCGTATTTTCTTGAACTTCTTCGATCCAGGCCAGAGCTGTCTGCATTCCATAGAAGTTAAAATGTTGAAAAGTCACTGAAGATAAATAACCGTGGGGTAATTGTAACTTTTTAACTTAAAATGTTATTGGAACCTTGAAATACATTTCAAGGATAAAAGTTTCTCCTAAATGTACTCTCCTTACTTCGAGCAAACTAGACATGCATGTATACCTCTTGAACTTGATAAAGCAAAAGATTTGCTTCCCGATCTAGTAACTCTTCTGCTTGTAACAATAGTTGCATTCCTCAATGAGTTATCTTCATCTACTTTACCTATTCTCTTCCCACCTACAAATGTTTAGGGCATCAGCAAACTGAAACAATCTTCCCAGAATTCCTATAATGACAACTACAAATTAGATTACCATCTTAGACAAGGTATAAATAAATAAAAATGTTCTATATATTGATTTGCAATAAGTAACACTTCAACTATATCAACAGATGCTTAACTATTATTACTGCAAATCCCTGATTAATAGTCATCACACGCCGTTTAAACACCAAATCCATTTCAGCACCTGTCTTTTGAGGAGAGTACAGTTTAGACTCATCCACAGCTGTGGATAGATGATTTTCTCGTGTTCCTTCAACTTCCATATTAGGAAAATCTGGGTCCATACTAGTGAGGTCACTTTTAGCATTTTCAGTAGAAAAATCATCCTGAAGCTGTGCATCATGCTTATTTTCATTAGTATCCCTCTTGCATTTGTCTGAACTTCTTTGATCCGGGCCACAATAGTCTGCAATCCATAGCAGCAGTCAGTGAATATAACAACTGGCCAGCAGTATAATATTTTAACTTCCGGTGATATGAAAACCTAGAAGTAGCATTTTATGATGGAAATTTCTATTGCCGTTAATTCAGGCAAAGTAGACATGCATGTATACCTCTTGAACCTGATAAAGCAGAAGTTTTGCTTCCCGATCTGGTAACTCTTTTGATGGTAACAATAGGTGCATTCCTAATCGAGTTATCTTCACGTATTTCACTTTTTCTATTCCCACCTGCAAATGGTCAGGAGGACATCAGCAAACTAAAACAATCTCCCCAGACTTCCTAGCAATGACAACTGCAAATTTGATTGTCATCTCAAGCAAAGTATAAATAAACAAGAATGTTCTGCACAATGATTTGCAATAAGAAAGTGCTTCAACCACATCAACAGGTGTACAAAGATAATCTTGAAATCCCTTCAATGCCAAATTTTGAAGCATTGGATCCACATTACTGCAGCATATCTCAGCATTTTGGAGAACAGACATTGTTAAGTTGTACATTGTGCTTATTTACTATTGCCTATATTGTATTTTCCTGGAGTTCTTTCACCCAAACTAAGGTTCCTATCTCCTGTCAGTCAAGTGGAGACATCCAAAACACAACAAGTTGGAGCACAATAAACATCAAACAAGTCTAAAATTTCTAGTTGAGAAGGTACAAACATGTTGAAGCAACATGTCATCACGTAAAACCATACGCCCTAACATATGAAAGTTAATTTATGCAAACTCGTGTTGCTTATATACCTCTCGATGTTGATAAATCAAATGATTCCTTTCCCGGTGTCGTAACTATCTTCGCTTCTTTCTCCAAGCATTTTGAAGCACAATCTTCCCAATGAAGAGGAAATCCAAACACAAAATGCTTGAAAATCTACAAAGAGCACAAATTTTGAATCTAACATATGAAATTGCAATGAGATGACATAATCAAATAGTAAGATGACTGCACAAAGGACAAACAAGTCTCCAATCCATTCAAACATTTTTCCCCTAAAACAACTAAAGTTCAGCATTAAAAGCGGATTTGAGAGCGGCTCATAACAACTTGCTCAGAATCCTTCCGCATTTGTAAACAGGTCACCATGTGATGACCTTTCTACTTTTCTTTTGTTTTGAACCCGAGCACTTTTAACAACAATTGATATTTGCCCATGTCAAGTTTTCCATGGTCAAGGTCCGAGAGCTCAAACTAGAGTGGGATGGTAAAGCAGGAAAATGGCAACAGACTCACAAACCTCAGATGAGAAGCCACTTTCTGTAGTGCGCGACTTATTTATCAATCCAGACACCACAACACAAACACCATCGGCTGTTTCAAGAGTTGAAAAATCATATCTTTTGGTGATCGGAGCCGATTTGAACACCCGAACCACTTGCTGAACAGATTGTTGCCTGAAGTAAAAAGTCCTCTGAGCTCATGGAATTGCTACACCACAAAAATAAAGTAAATGCCAACAAAGAAGTCTCATTGAGAGCATAAGTCACGCGGACAACAATGACTACCTGAAGATGTAGTCCTAGTTAATAGAGGGGTGGCAACTTTCTACATGACACAATAAGATGACTCAAACAACGAGTCAACTTGGATAGGAGAAACCCAAATGAAAGAACCCGAATACAACCAACTCAAAACAGACATGGCTCGACATATTCTGGGAGACTTTTCCAGAATAAATAAACAATTTATCATCATATTGCACCAGCTTTGTAATATTCAGCCAATGACTTGAACAACCGACACGAACATGATCACGACGATACGACACAAATCCCCAGGTCCCACTAGTTATCTTGCCGGCTACATTTTACAAAACAAGTGCAGACATGAAAGGCCAGGGTTGTATTCGTCTCAATTAAAAGCGAGCTTTTCGATGGATCAGTGTCTAAAGGATCACATTTTCCGATGTTCGGCCCAAATTGACTAAGATTTCTCCCAAAAAGAACCGCTGAACTACTGGAAAGCTTCGTTTTTTCCCCCCTCAAAGGCGAAAAATTTACACACGAACGGGAAGATGAACCCTAGCAGATCATTGTCGACGCTTACTTGGGCGAAGCGAAGCCAGAAACAGCCAGCGTTTTCTCCGGAGAACCATCCGCAGCAGCTTGGGTCAACCACCAATCGTAGAGACAAACCTGCTCGACGAAACGCAAGGAAGAAAACTCAGGAGAAGTCGGAAGAGAGAGAGAGCGAGCGAGAGAGTTTGAGCACTTACTGTTTTCCTGAAGCGAGACGCCGAGAAGTCATCGTCGCCGGGGGATCTCGAAGGGTCGGAGCTCGACGCCATGGAAGCGAAGCGGAGCGACCGTTACCTGGTACTGCGCAGTTTCACCAGACCATGATACGGATTTCCTCTCTTCTTTTTTTATATATTTATTTTTTCACTTTTTATAAATTTATTATTTTATTCAATTGCTTCCATCCGAAAATGAATAAATTAAGATTGCTTCGTGTACGGCTTTTTTTTCTCGTTCGTCGGTACCGTCACCGAGAACGAACAGAAAGCGAACACGAGAGAGTCGAGCGGCGGCGGCGGCGGCGGCGGACGAAAGCCTACGGGCGGCGGTCGGCGGCGTTCGGCGACATCGGGAAGATGATGAGAAAGCGAGAAAAAAGCTTTCGAGGAAATTCCTCCGGCTCCCGTTCTCCGCGAAAAGCCCACGGACGGCGGTCGGCGGCGTTCGACGGCGTCGGGTAGACGATGAGCAAGCGAGAAAAAGGCTTTTGAGGAAATTCCTTCGACTCGTGTTCGTTCTCCGAGAGCAGAAATCTTCTCGGAGGATTCTATCAGCTCTTCCGTCCCCCCGCTCGTGTTCCTCGGATGGCCCGGCAACCGGAGGTCCGACGACGGTCGATGACGATCGGAGCTGATGGATTCCGACGCCGATTAGCGGTGGCGAAGCTTCTGGAACGTAGAGAAGATCGATCGACGCCGTGTGTGTGTGTGTTTTTTTTTTGTCCTTTTTGATATTTTTCTTTTCGCGCCCTTTTTTATTCTCGGAAAATAAAGAAGAAGAAGAAGTCAGGGGAAAAAAAGAAACGGAGCAGGGCCTTGAGGATTGTGGGCTCTCTTTTATGGGCTATATTTTTTCTTTGGGCTGCTGGGTTCAAGTGATGCTGATGGGCTGCGCTTATGTACTTTTTTTCTTTTTTGTCAAAATGGGCATAAAGCCTTCTTATTCATTTTTTTATTGGTTATTTTTATTGTTTTATTACCCAAAAAAAAATGCATGTTTGACTTTTTTTTTTTGCTAGAAATTAAACTTTATATTGCAAACAAAGCAATTACAAAAAGGAAGCATTACCTACATTAGAGCGAAATATAAAAGAAGACTCTACTAGTACAATATTTTAAACTCTAGCAGGGAGATCATGGTAAAGAAAAGAGGATTTGGTGCCTATATGATTGGAGGCCCAATTTGCAAGTGCATGAGCAGCTCCATTCTTGGATCTACGGGTCCAGTCCAAGCTCCAACCTGGATTGTGCTGAAATTGAAAGCGAGAATCTGCAACGAAAGGTTGAATACTCCAAGGGCAAAGACCCTTTTGTTGGATGGCATCAATTAAGACTTTACAATCGCTTTCAAAGATCGCTTTTCGAATGCCCAGGGACTAAGCATAATTGCAGGCGAGAAGGAGAGCTGCTGCTTCCACTTCCAAAGGCGAGTTCCAACGACCTCTCCTTGTCCAAGCTTGGACTACTAATCCGCTAGCCGATCGTGCAATGATACCTATGGCTCCTTTGTTATCTTTCCACGCACCATCTACATTAAAATGAGCTCTTGATCTGACGGTGGGAGCCAAATGTCTATTCCTACTCCAATTGAATCGGCTTCTAGACTTGGTGCGACTGTGTTTTCTTCCTTGAACTTGTTCGAGAATTCCATGAACTCCTGTAAAACCAACTTAATTGCTTGGGAAGGATTTGGAATAGCTTGATCATGTAAAATGGAATTCCTATAAAATCACATTCTAGTACATAGAATCGCTGCATAGAGAGTGAAGAGTTTGCAATCGAATCCCATTATCTCTGCAATTCGTCCTGGGTCAAGGAAGTGGTTTATCATTTCCTTTGGTGATGTGAAGTTCCAAACATATGAGATGATACCCCATGGGCTCTGTCTCCATAAAATCTGGGCCAAAGGGCATGCTGTGAATAGATGGACAAGAGTTTCTTCTGAATTTCCACACAACGGGCATGAAGGGTCTGGAATGTTTGACTTATTGGCAAGAATTCGGGTGTCAACAACACTCTCGACATACCATTCTCGGAGACATCGAGTGCCATGAGATTCACCATCTATCCCACCACTTGCAATGGGCATCGGGCCTGTCAATGCATTTTCTGCGATGAACAAGTCCTATGGAGAGTGAAGAGAGGCCAAATACTGAACCGCTGATCATTGCCCTTTTCTGGTCCTAGAAGGTTTGTACCGAAACTTAGAAGCTGCAAGTTCCGCAGGCCTCCCAATTTGGTGATATTGACCCCGAAAAAGTATTTAGGACACCGTCTATTGTGCACCAGTTCGGTAGCATTTGCTATAGAGTTGGGGATTGGCCCGAAAAACTGATTACCACCAATATAAAAGGCTTGGAGTTTTGGGAGAGTGAGAAATAAATCTGACGGAGGAACCCCGCTTAAATTGTTGAAAGCCGCCGAGAACAGTATGATTGAAGAAATATCATACAGAGAAGTGGGAATTGGGCCGAGAGGTTATTTATCGAAAGCTGAAGGAATGTCAATTTGAAGAGCTGGCCAAATTCTTAGGAAGTGCTTCCCTCTAAAAGATTGTCCACAATATAAATGCGATAAAGAGAAGACGAGAGATTCCCGAGAGAAGGTGGGATTTTGCCTGTAAGTTGATTCGCAGATAGGCCTATTCTGGTTAGCTTCAGAAGATAACTAAGTGCATCGGGAATCGACCCGCTAAGGTCATCGCCACTTAGATTTATGGTCGAAAGATTTACGCAACGAGGGAGATTTTTCGGCAGTCCTCCTACGGAAGAATTGTTCACCAGGCTAAAAGAGTCTGAAGTCTAAACAGGCGGCCCATTTCTTCGGGATGTGTCCCGTGGAAGCCATTGTCGGTTGAGAGTTTGGAGGAATTAAAGGTTTCCTAATTGAGAAGACAGCGAGAACCTATCAATCGAAGGGATGAAAGATTAAGCGCAATCGCTCTCTGATGATTTTTGCTACATTGTAACACTAGACTGGTCATAGAAGAGGATGAAGTTGTTCCATGAGGTGTCACAAGGAGAGCCTTGGGACCTAACCTACAACTATCGACAAATTATGGATAGTTGGGGATACATGCTTAGTCTTTTTAATTTACAGAGATAAATACTTATGTAGAAAAGCAAGGTTTCTATAGTCAACAACCAAAGATTGAGAAATGATGGTTGTTGTTAGACTTTGTTACAATATTATATATCTTATTGGCTTCGGATTTGTAACCAGTGAGCTCAGTGGGCTGAAAAAAAGGGAAAAAAAAATCATTTCAGCACTTTCACTAATTGTTGGCTTTCTTGATAGAGAGAAGAAAGCTGAAAAACCTTAATATTTATTCACAATAGCATCCCTACATTTGTCCAGTCACATAGTTTCTATATGAAAAGTTTACAAAAGCACAAAACAAGTATTTCTCCCATTAAAGCTATCACAATTAGTGTTCATGTAGCCGAGCATCATATGGCGATGTCTGGCTAAAGGAGATAGGAAACGTGGTGTTGAAGACATTTGTGGACAACTAATGTTAAAGACAAAAAAAAAATCCACTTACCAAGTCTAATTTAATAGGAACCAGACAAGAGAGAACATTAACTTCAAACAAGTTACAATTAACAGTAAATCGGATAGCTTCAGAGTTACAAAAAAATTACATCATAAAGGATGAATGCTAAAAGTTTTTTTGGCTTGTAATGCTTAAGAGAAATAAACAATCGCATGATATAGCAAATGCGATATTTCTATTCGTTTTCCTCTATATGTTGAACTGTTATAGGTAGGAGAACTCCAAACCAATATTTCCATCATTCGAATCTCGCAAAAAGAAAAGAATGATCAGCAATTCTGGAATACAATCTTATAACTTCTGGACTGATTTCACAACTCCGAACAAATTTGTCAGTTGAACCTGTTTAAATTCAATTCAACAAAGGAAAAGAAGCGCAGAACCAAAATCAGAAAGCCTGTCTTAGAACATCAAGAATTGTGAATTGTCCAATGACATAGGAAGCATAGAGATGTACAAAATAGTAGTCAACAACAAAAGTTTGGCAAAGAAATGTTGATATGTAGTGCAGCGAATACAACATTGGAAGAATAAAACACTGTTTTAATAATAATCAGTCACAATATCCGCAAAATATCTATATAGAAAAAAAAAAACCTATGTAAATTGAGTACTAACTAGCTCAAAGAGGAGTACAAATACAACGACCCTAAGTACTTGCATCTCAATAATGAAAATTGAACATTAAATGCATAAATAGGAAAAACCCTCCAATAAACAAACACATCTTTCATTTCAATTGGCTCGCCACCTAACTTGCGCTTGCATTAGCCTCTCTTCTAGCTAAAATCCATTCTACCGATTATCGAAGACCCGTTTTAAGAAAAACATCATGTAATGTTGAAATAATAAAATTTGGAATTGATGTTCTAATATTTCTTGAAGGATTGCATAATATTTATAGACCCTTTAAATAACTTGAACAATTAAAAATTATCTTGAAAACAAGCAACAATAAGTAAACATAATTTCCTAGATAATAATTTCCAAGACTCCAAGTCTCTAGATAATAATTGCAAGAATCCAATTCACAAGATGAGCTTGGATTACAAAAAATCTTTTTTATTTCCAACAGCCTCCCTTAAATCGAGCTCATCTTGACCATGCCGATCATTCTCTTGAGTTTAAGGAAGGAGTCCGTCTTCAACGGCTTAGTAAACATGTCAGCCACTTGGTCTTCCAACTTGCAAAACTGTAACATAATCTCCTCGGACTTCACTAGATCTCGAATGAAATGATACTTTATATCAATGTGCTTGCTTCTTCCATGAAAGACTGGATTCTTTGCAAGGGCAATTGCTGACTTATTATCACAATTAATCACGGTTGGATGCTCCTGCTTATGACGTAATTCAGCAAACATCAAACGTAGCCAAACTGCTTGAGTAGCACAATAAGCCGCTGCTATGTATTCCGCTTCCGCATTGGACAAGGCAACCACCTGTTGCTTCTTCGAGGACCAAGAAAAAATTCCATTTCCTAAAGAGAAAACATAACCAGAAGTACTCTTCCTTTCTTCAATATCACCTCTCCAATCACCGTCTGTATATCCCACAAGCTGAAAATCATTAGAAACAGTGTAGAATATACCATCATCCATAGTACCTTTAATATACCGTAGAATTTTTTTAATCGCCTGAAGTGTGATTGTCTAGGAGTCTCCATAAATCTGCTTACCATCCCAACACTATAAACAAGATCTGGCCGAGTAGAAGTCAAATATCGTAGACTCCCGACTAGCCTCTTGAAATATGTGGGATCAACTTCGGAGCCACTTCCATCTTTTGTCAACTTCAATCTTTCCTCGATTGGAGTGCTAATTGGTTTACAAGTAGCCATCTTGAAACGCTCAAAAATATCCTTGGCATACTTTTGTTGACAAATAAAAATACCATCCTTCGATTGTGTAACTTCAAGGCCGAGAAAATAATACACGAGACCCATGTCCGCCATCTCAAACTC